CGGGGAATATCCGTGTAATTCCGAGGGGTGACCGCGAGTCCCCCTTACTGCTGCTTGTTAAAATAGAAAAATACACGTAACTAGTTATATTTTCCATCACATTACTCAACATATATGAACAGTTTTGAGCCTTGATTAACCTATAAAGTATAAAATGATTGCACAATCTATTACATACACTTCTAAAATATTCCATAGGCAAAATATGCAGTGCACCAACCGCGGATGCACAAATCATTAGTATTATTGCACGTTTTAAGAAACTTAGTACGGAAGTACAGGATATATGAAGTCCTGATTCCTTCCAAGACTCAAAACTATTTTAGAAAAATGTCTACGAAAAAAGTTTTAAAAAGGAATTAGCTGCACTTTCACAAATATTTAAGATATTTAATTCAAGTTTGTTCAGGTTTCAGACGTGCAACACGTTGCATCTTTGTCGCATATGACTTTATTCGAGTGTATTTAAAGCTGTTAAGTTGAAATTCTTTTTGCTGAAAATATTTCCTTTTTAATGATAGATGAACAAAAACGTTTATTTTATAGATATGATTTCACATCATGGGAAATACGTATATTAATTCACTTCAATTCAGTTGTCAGGGACGGCGGAGACGGTGGGTGGGAGGGGGTGGGGCTGGAACCCCCCCCCCCCTCCTTACACACACACACAAACTTTTTGCGAGAATTACATTTTTATTTTGTCTAATTTTTTGGTGTGTTGTCCCTAGTTAAGTTTTTAAAATTTCTTCTTATAACTATTTAGTTTTATTTATCACTCTATTCATTTACTAACCTCTAAAATATTTTCACCTTTCCGTTTTAAATTAAAGTAAAGCTTGGAAAGCCAATAAGATGTCAGGTAACATTGGAAAACCATTCTGATGCAGGGAAACCATTTCAATGCCCATGCCACCTTAAATGATAAGAATTTTGTTTCAGAAATCTTGGGAACCATTATTTTCAAAATCCTTTTTGGGGGATTCTTGCTGTTTTTTTTGTTGGTTATTATTTTTCTAACTTTTCGAGTTTCTAATCATGCGTTTGAAAAAAAAGAATTATTTTTCTTGCCAAGAATTGGCCCGAGACCCTCACGGGCGGCATGGATCGTTTCTTAGCATTGACTCTAACAAACCAAAATGAGTATAATAAGAGAAATATTAAAAAAACTATTCTAAACTATTCTAATTTAGCGAATATTAAGTAAATATAAGATCATATACATTATTTGCGATGTCAGTTTTCAAGGATCCTTCGATAGCTCAGTTGGCAGAGCGGGGGACTGTAGAGTCATCACTGTTATCCCTAGGTCGCTGGTTCAAATCCGGCTCGAAGGACTTTTTTGTTTTCGATGGCCTTTGAATTTTATTTTCTCATTATTGTAATTTTGAGATTATTTTAATTCGATAATTCTGAGCTACGACACTTTTTTCTTACTTTGGAATAATCTTTGATAAGTATTTTAGTGACGTCATTAAAAGAACGGTCCACTTCCGGTCTAATGAAAAATTATCTCCCGCCGTACAAGACGTCAGCAAACTTTATAATCGTATTAGTTATTTTCTTTATGTTTTGACAACAAATGAGAAAAGTAAAATATTGTAAAACATTCGTATATTTTTCACTGAGATTAGTCATTCTGAGGTTGAGGGAAACATGCTGGATCAAGTTGGCATTGCCACAGTGCATGCATTGTGGATGTTTTAGGGACGAAAAATAGATGCATGCCATCTTGTCCCAAAATATACTGCAATGCTAACTTGACTCAGTGTTTTACTCAACCTTGAAAATACTAATACTACACGTTTTCCATTTCCCGACTCTTCTAGATCTCACTTGGAATATCCAGTACTGATAGTAGAACTACTCGAGTATCCATTGACTTGGTGACGTAAATGATATAAAGTATAGAAAGCTGAGCCATGCTGGAGACCCGCTACACTTCCAATTTCCAGTGACCCTCATCCTATTCCCGTGGCATTAAACCTTATTTTTCTCTCTCTTACGCCATTCTAGTATATTACTTCGTCTCAGTGTCGTCGTTGAAGGCGAGATCCAATAGATTGAGTCGAACTTTGAACTTACGCCTTACTTGAAAGCGACATCGCAAGCCTTTTAGCATAAAATTTCTGAAATTAAATTTTGCAAAAATAGGACTAAGCTCAAAATTTTCAATTGTTATCCCACAAACAAGGCATTATATAGGTATACAATTGGCACCCATTCAACGCCAAATATTGTGGCATGTATTCATTCAATCTATATCTTCCGGCATCTCCCATATTCGTTCTCCCGTCTTGCTTTTCGGTCGTTACCATGGTACATTGCCAGTGTATTATGTTGGATCTGGTCAGTAACTTTACTTGCATGATCTGACCATTCGATCAGTAAATACCATTTGTTTACTGGAGTCGGACAACAATAGGTGGACACACGGGAAAGGTAACTTAATCCTGAAGTAATTTGAAGTCGTCTAACTATCTTTTTAATAGTTCAATCATGTTTCGAAAGTCAATCGTGCCATCAGAAAGAGTTTATCAGAAGTAGCGTACTAGCTAGAACTGTCATATCCAAGAAACAACATCCTTACTGAAATTTAAAGCTATCTTTACTTTCACAGGGAGTAAAATAGACGAAAACTATGTGGAAAGCTTTGAAGGATATAGTTTTGAACAACTTCATCCTTCAGGCGGTCCTTCGCCAGAATACGACGCACCAAAGGTAAGCCCCCAGGTCATCATGTCCAACATTTTTCCCCTTATGACGAGTCGTATAGTGAAATCAATGACTGAACTCAGAAACTGCACTAAAGTTTTTAAAAGATCTCTAAAATAACTTAATGCAGAACTATGTTAAAATCATTTGTGTATAAATTCTTTTTCGGAAACGTATCAATTGTAGTTCATTACTTTTGTTGAAATGCGAAAAGTTTGACCTCACCAAAGTCCCATCTTTTTCAAATCACATCGAGGAATTAAAAAGATTAACTTTGTTTTGTTCAAGTTGTTTGAAGCTCATCTTGAAACAATACGCAAACTGCTGCAAACTTAATCAATATCGCTGGCCGTAATTTCAAAAAAAATAAAACTATAAGTTTCAGCCGGTCTTCTTGAAAATTGTTGCCTTCGTTAGCAAAAAGTGACGTTCCTATAGATCTGTTTTTTAGTGGGTGACGAATGAAAAATTACTCGTTACAGGCAGCCGGACAAATATCTATTGTTTTTGAGTTCATAATGAACGAAAACGTTAACTATGGCTCTGGTTAAAGTTCAAGTTCACTAGAAAAGATCGACTACCTTTTTGAAACGAAGACTTCCACACAACAGTACGTGATAAGTTAAAAAAAACGTATTTCATTCGATCAGTAGCGCTACTTAATATAGAAACAACCCAGCAGGCTCAAATAAACTTTATTTTTTCTGAATAAAATTTGTAATATATGGGTAAGCTGGGCACTTGACGTTAAGTATATATAAAATAGAAAAAATCGGCATATTTATTTTGACGTTCAATGTAAAAGTGTAACAACCTCGTGCCTAAAGCTTAATAACAGACAACTTAGTCTGGTTGTGGTAAGCTATGAAAAATCTTTACATGAAATACGAAAAACTAACTGTACTTCCGTCGGTGATTCTTGGGATTCATATTGATTTACACGGCTTAACAATTACAAAAACAATACAATTTTGTCGTATTGAAAAACTATTATTCAATCAAATTACGTTTTCACTTGTTTATACAAAATTGATATCCCATTCTCATAATCTTTTTACAGCTCTGCAAAAATATTCCACACACGATTACATGTGCAATTTTCTGACGTCATTATTTCGCAGTACATGTTTTGTGTACTCTTTGGCATATCGCTATAGGTTTTTGGCAAGACTGGCTCATTAGGTTGTTCCAAAAAAATCTAAAAACCTCAAAAAGAGCCTGTTTTTAAATTCTCAATAGAAGGGAGTTTTTCTGCGATATTCGGGATATTTGAAATGGTTGTTCGCAACACCATCTTTTTCCGTCCACCCATATTATAAACAATAACAGTGTGCAGCTAGAACCAGCTGTCCTGCTAGCTTAGTATGAATACATTAATGGCATAAGTCACATGATGGAATAGTCGGTGTTGATTGGTGAGTGTTTTTGAGAGTGTTTGACATCAGCAAGGCCTGTACCGTTCCCATGAAAACACCGTGCCATACTTGCATATATACTACTATCTAGGTTCTTTACTGCTCTCCCCTTACTCAACCAGACAACACTCTAGCCAACCGAATATCAACTCTTTCAGGGTTGAGCGACCAGTTTAACCGTCTATCATGGCGATACCGCGTATTTGGGGGTGATTTTGAAGCGCTTGGCAAAGCGACGTCGATGTGGTACGAGGACGTGTAGATGCGCTTTTAGACCGTTCGTCGACGTTTGTTCCAATCTTACTTACCAAGGGACATTTTCATTTGTGTTTGAGTGGCTTTGGAACCGTTTCAGTTGCCCAAAGGACCGCTTCTATCGCTTGTGAATGAGCACAATTTCCAGCCCTAATGGGCTGTGCTCCTAGCATACACGTCTCTCAATCAGGAATAGTAATTCGTGAAGAAATCCGGGAGAGTTCTAGCCCAAGGCCTATAGTTTCTTCGCCTAGTGAGATAGTCGGCCATATTCGTTCTAGTTCAGACTCTGGGTCGCATATATCTACTTCGTCGTCTTCTCGCTATCGTGGAAGCTATAAGCGAAGTTATTATTCAGCCAGGGGCAGTTCAATAGAAGCGGAGACACAAACCCAAGACCTCAGTATGACAGAGAATATCAAGGTATAAAAAAGATAGCCTGTTCTGTTATGGCTAATACGGCAGCAAGATATCGTCCAATAGTTTACATGTATCTATCACACATTCAAAACACCTTTGTGCTGTTTTCCCCTCATACATTCACTTCTGTGATTTTTCCAGAGCGAAAAACGACCGGGAATCATGTTGGGACCTATGAAACTATACCAGCCAATTGTGCAGGTAAGCTCTCTCTTCAAATAAAAGCATATACTGCTTACTTTAGAACCCGAGTTCTTCTTTCGAACCTCCTGACCAATTTACCTTTCTTTTTAAAAAATCGCCGGTTTAGATTCAAAAATATTTCCCCTGAAATGCAATTTCAATGAACGATTCAATTTACTGATCGAATAATTTTGTTCTATAGCTCGATAAACCTAGTGTATTACTCTTTATGATATTCAGGTTTTATAGGTCGACTTCGCTGAATATAAAACCTTAGCATCCATCTTCTCAGTATACATGGTTTTCAATATAATTTTTGTTAATGTTAAGTAATATTKTCTCTGGATTTCCGATTCCCTATCCACAGATACAATTCGGAGATTTTGTAGAGTTTTTTTTCTCATTGAACTGACAGAGTTCCTCATGACATTTTTGGCTTCTCTGTTAAACAAAAAATATATATTCAAAATACGAAATCATTTCTAATTCTCTTTTTGTTTACCAAAGACTTTTTTGCTAGGGTAAGTAGAATTCACCATTGCTGTTGGTTTGAAATTATCTTTGCGTAGCTTGTGCTAAATCTTGAGGCTAAAAGATGCAAATAAGTAAGAAGTATTGTCAACCATTCCAAATCGATGGATTTTCTCAACTTTATGCATGTTTTAAGGCCGAAATTCTCGTTGGAAATCAATTTTTTCCCTTCGACGACAGAATTTTTTTCCTTTTTACTAATGATTCAATTTTAACCACTAAATATTAGAATTTTCATTGCAAAACCAGCTTCGCATGTCTTTTTTTCAGTTGAGATAGTTTGGTTGCATGTTTTTCCCTTTCACGGGGATTTGCTTCGCCGTCGAACGATTATCCTTCATCAAAAAACAAGTTTACATCGTATTATTTCTTTTTTATTTCGACGTCCCTAGAGAAAACTCTGTTCAAAGGTTCGACTATATAATGTTATTGAAATTYCCCCTTGGATCTACTGTACTTCCTTGGTGCTTGACGACGTAGGAGTCGGTCAGGGAAGCGAACAAGGGAAGACCTTGTTGCAGAAGCCAAATTTTCGAGTTAACGAAAATAAATAGAATATTGAATCAAGCTGAACAGTCTCTGCTTCCTCATAATATTTTTAATCGAAATTTTTTAGTTTCCTATCTACGGTTTCTTTACGTTTTTTGTTTTCAGTGCTTTCGGAGGGAGAATTAAGCTTAGTTTTTCTTTTTTTTTCTCGGTCAAAGTGGGAGCCGGTAAATGCAGTCGATAATATGCTGGTACTTTGAATTCAGCGAAGACAAATGTGCAAGAAATCTGTTTTCCAACGCTTTCTTGATTCGTATGGGCTTCCTAGAATACAAAACAAAACAAAAAACCAGCGCAAAAATGACCCTCTAACACTAGATATACAAACTTCGTTGTTGAACTACGCTTTTGTTAGTGTTTTTCCTTCAGCTCATATCAATTTTCTTCACTCTGCAGATTTTTTTTTCGCCGATTCAAAGGGCGTTCATCTTTTAATGTCACGCACAATTCACTAGTCCCAAAACTTTCTTCTCAAATTCTTTTTCCTCTCGTTTCGAAATTAGTTATACTTTGCACTGTCCTTTTATTATAGTTCAACGTTTTGCACTTTTTTGGTCGAATTGTTTATAAGCTTATGTCTTTTCTGACACATTTAATGGTTCCCCTCCCTACTATATACTTTATAATAGTGGCCAACAACATTTAATGATAAAAAGAAAGAAAATATTAATATCATATAGGTAATGTTATTCTTTGTTGCATCGTTTTATCTTCATGATCCCTATGATAACAAACAAGTTTACAAAACTGTTATTGCTACTTTCTTGTATACACCAAAAGGCTATACCATTTCAGAATATTTCTCAGCTGGTCAAACTGTATAATATACGTAGAAAAAAATTCTACTATGAAATAAGTATTTTCCATGGTTTTATAAACACCGAGAATTTTACTTGGTTAGAGTTGAACTGTTTTTTTTTAGCTAATGCCAAGGTTACGATGTCAAGCGCAAGGGAAAACGAAGAAAATTGTTGGGATGGGATGGCAAAGATTGTGTGCACAGTTTGTTGTTTTCAACAGCAGAATTCTGTAGTCTACTTGTTGGTCATGGACTGTTGCTTCAGCTGAAAAAGAGGCAAAGAAAAAACAAGAAAGAAAGAATAAAAGAAAGGAAGAAAAAAGAATGAATAGAAAAAAGAAAGCAGGAAAATGGAAGGAAAAAAAAATAAAATAAAAATTCATCTCATTTGGTTGGCGCAGGCTTTCACACTCACCAACTCAGTTCTTGAGTTCAGTGTAGTTGATCTCTTCATTCTAAATCTAAAAACCTTTGGAAAAGCATAAAGAGAATTACATATCTGGGATTATGAGCGATGAATATTTTATCAAGCAAAATGGAAAAAATGGACAAGTACAAGTAAATTTGGAATCAACCTTAGTCACCTTCTAGAATGTCTACACATTTAGGCTTCAGAAGACCTCTAGCTTTTGATCAATGTTAACTTTTAGGATTCAAATTGTTTCAAAGTCATCATACTATCACAATCTTTATGGTGAATTTCATTGACATTTGTTCTGCTTCTTGACAAAAACTTACACATTTAATGACAAAAAAATATATTTTCCAATGATGGCTTGTATTTTCCAGTACTAGAAAGTTTGAATTCTTTCTTAATTGAATTTTTCACACAAGCATTTTTGTTCCATTCTTCTATTATTTTTCACATTGGTGCTAGATTTCTGAGGACAGGTCAGAGAGCAAAATAAGATGCTTTGTTGAACTGAACCTGGTTTCTAACATGTGCATTACTGGTGTATAGTTGTATTTTAAAGTCATGAAGTACTAGTAAGCCTTTATGCTAAAATGATTTAAGATAGTATTCAAATCGAAATCCAGAATGGACTATAATGTTTGAAAGGGGCAGTTCATAAATTAGACATGAAGTTTTAAAAAAGCTATGTCTTGCCGTAGTTTTTTATTCAAAAGTTTTTATGATTCTATGCTGGTAAACATAAAAATTCTGTTGCTATTAATACTGGGTCTGAAGATGTGAATTTTATAAACTAAAGCACTACAACACCATTGAAACTAAAAGTGCAACTGAGAGTTAACTTGCTCATTTTGACTTATTATTGAATTGCAGATAATGCTAGTGTTTGCAAAGGAAGATGCACAAACAGAAAGTTTTGTTCAAGCTGCTGAACGAGGTGGATATAAGTATAGCATATGTAAGACGTTCGAGGCAGCCATGGATCAGTTCCTTAGCAACCAACCTGAAGTGAGTATCAAATCTTTCCCTTTTCCTTTCTCATGCTTCCTTGAATCATATTCTTTAGCTGATTTTCTTCTAGTTCCACAAAGATGATCAATTCAAAATTTCATTTGGTTACAATGAAAAAATATTGCCACCCTTTTAAAATCCTAATGCTAGTTTTCATTGCGATTTTTGAAAGAATGATTGCAATATAGATAAATTATATTAATCAAGCATTGCTCAGTTGCTTGTGAAATCTAAGGCTGGTTAATCCTTGTAACCATGTCAACAGTCACCAAACTATTGTGTTTGGAACCAAGATTAAAATTTGGTTATTAATAATTTAGCATTTTCAACTGTTCAAATATAATATGCTGTTCCTTTAGGAAAACCCTTGTATATTAGTGATTGCAGTTGTAGTTTTGCATGTTTTATTCTACTACCATGTACAGTTTATGATTAAATAATTAAATTTCTACAAATATTATTTCTTTAATACTCTTGATTAACTCAAAGGACTTTTTTCACATTAATTTATGAATTTCTGCCTCAAATGTTTCAACTTAAGTATATTTTTTCAAGTGTTGTTCATTACACTCTTGTGAAGTTTGAAGATATGACATGTTTTCATGTCATAGACATTTTTGAATAATCTAGAATCTCAAATTTGTCATCTCTTTATTCGTCACATTTAGCCGAGGCAAGTAGATAATTAGGTTGTTTACTAGCTATAAGGAATGAAGGCTACATGCTATCTTGTGTTTGTGTTGGTCTCTTGATTTTGATTACTGTATATTGAGACTGGATTACATGTTTTATTTCTTGTTCTAACTAGCAAACATGGTGTCTTTATATTGTTTGTAATTTAGAATTTAATTTAAATACCTTTGTAATAGTAATGAGCACTAAACTACAAAAAATCTTTGTTGATCTTTGACCCTATGCTTTGTGAGGCATCTTGTAAGTCATTAGGATTGATTAATGTTTGGTAAGACAATAATGTCCTTTAACATGTTGATCTTTCTTCTGTAGGTAATCTTCATTGATATGAGAGACTCTTCCACCATTGATGGTGAGAAGCTATGCAAGTAAGAATTTGAAAAGAAGTATTGAAGTGTAAACAAGTATAATAATTGTGTTTTTTTGAATAAAATATAGCTAATCCTAAATATGTATGCAACAAGTCAGTCATCCATTAATGACGTAATAAAAATAAATCATTGAGAAGCATGAAAAGATTAATCTCTTGTCTGAAACTGCCAAAGCATTTGTTATCTTGATCATCTTTAACAAGAAAAAAATTATAAAGGACAGGGATAATCCTTAAATGAAATAATCAAATATTTTGTAGTCTACATCCAATTGTGTGTAGTTATAAAATCTCTTCTTGTGTACATTCCTTTAGCGCTTTGTTATTGTATTGTGCATTATAAAGTTACAGAGGTGTGGTTCATCACGAATTTGTAATTTTAGTGGTTTTTTCCTGTTGAATACTTTATCTTTGAGATTGTTTATTCTATGATATTATCTTTATAGAGATATAAATTTTGTTTTCACAGAAGCATGAGAACAAAACGACCAAGTGATAGCTCAACTATCATAGCAGTAGTTAAACCTTGGTATGTGATTCCCTGCTATGCAGYATGTGTACTCTAATCTTATTCGTCTATAGTTACCGTAGATTACATCTTTGTCAGTTAAGAGATATGTAAATTTTTCTGTGCCTGTGCATATCTGTAAAGCCTAGGTTAAATTATCAAATATGAAAACAATTACTTATAATGAGTATGTACACTGTGATCAAAATTTTCTAGAAGTTTATAACACTGGAGAAACTCATTTAAAAGCTATTTTAACTTCGCCACTACACCTCATCTACTCTTCAGGGTTAGGGGAAATTTGAGGGCTGAGCCTAAAACTTTTTGCAACATATTGTGATCAAAATATAATACTTGTTTTCACAGTTTCATTCATTGACCACAAATAAAAGTTCCAAGTTGAGGTTGGAGTTGCTGCACAGCATAAACTAAAGTTTTGCTATACACGGCAACTCCAACTCCAACCTCAACCTTAAACTTTTATTGGTGGTCACTGAATGGATCATTGGCTTTCTGTGGAGCAAGAATAAAACCTTTTTGTACGCACACACACTGATGCATATCATCCTTCAAAGACTTAAGCCCCCCCAACCTCCTAAAAATCCGGTGTTATCACTGCTTCTTTAATCAGTGAATCTTTAGACAATTAGAAAGAAAATATAGAACATTTTAGACCCACAATCATGTCACCTATCCAGGGCAAAACATGATTGTTGGTCGGTAGCCAATCATGATGAACCGGCCAAATTAGTTTTAAATTGGTTATAGCTCATTTCTGGCTCGACATTACTAGTCAAAATGACCGGCAAGGCTAAGACTCGACTGGACAAGTTCCAATTCTGGGCAGACATGGCTTGGTGACTGTCCATTATTTGGCCCTGCCATCCCCCCTCCCCCCTGATAATAACATACAAAGACACACACACAGCCATATGTAAATGAAAGATTCCTTTTAGTCCTAGGCACTCAGATGAGCCTTCTTTCTTACCCTTATTAAAGACTGGGTTTGATAGGGTAAGTGGAATAGTATAGTATGATGTACTACAGTATACTATAATCATATGAAATGACATGCTATAACACTTAAATGGCTTTCTATAGCAATAAATGTCTTAAGTGCAAAACATAATAGCTGTACTAACTTACAACATGTACATGATGTTATACTCTACTTAAATGGCTTTCTATAGTAATAGTTATTATGAGTTGGAAACATATTTACTTACAACATGTACATGATGTTATACTCCTTAACACTTAAATGGCTTTCTATAGTAATGGTTATTATAAGTTGGAAACATACTTACAACATGTGCATGATGTTATACTCCTTAACACTAATAATAATAATAATAATTACATGTCTTAAATGGCTTTCTATAGTAATGGTTCTCATAAGTTGGAAACATACTTACTTACAACATGTGAATGGTACTATATTCCTAAAAATTGAAATGGCTTTCTATAAGAATGGTTATGTTGTGCATTAAAAACATGTGGTACTGCCTTAAAGCATATACATGGTGCAATATCCAATAACATTTCACTGGCTTCCTATTGTTGTCTGCAGAATTGTTCAATTCATTATTCCCACGGTTTAAAACTTTCTAAATGTTTTATATCATTCTATTGCAGAGGTTTATTGAAAATACAAATGTTGGTGGATGCTTTAATGAGCTGAAAATGTTAGAATATGGGGAGGTGCGATCACAGTTGAAGTTACGGTATGTTTGGAAATGTATTGATTATTGTTAATTTTTTTTCTGGCTGGCATCCTAAGAATCCTGGGTTCTGATTGGCTTCAATAATGGGTGGTATTTTCAACATCTTCCTGCGGTCCAGTATCCTGACGTAAGGCTTACATCATGCAAGCGTACGCACATTATTAAATGGATTGTTAAACAACAAACCAATTACAAGACTAGTGAAATGGGAAAAAAAAGTTATTTGAGGTCCTAAAATTGGTCAGGATAGGAAAAACCTCTACGTTTGGTCTTGAAAACAGATCTCAGCCTAATGGCCTCAGGTCCTAAACAAATCATGTCCGCCTACACCCACCTATGTATTCTTGATGTTGACGTCATTATATCTTTTTATTTTCAGAGCAACAGCATGTTTTATAAATGCAATAGAACATACCCACGATGCAGTAGAGATAACAAGATTAGATCCAGATAAGTCTGATAATCAAGTCCATGTAGAGGTGAGCAGCTTGACAACATGTGCTAACAGGTCACATTATTCAACCCAATTTAAAATGAATACTGTAAATGAAAAGAGCATCTCAATTTTAGAAGGAGGAATTTCAGCTCATAATGTCAATAGGCCCTTTGCAGCTCAGTAATCATGTGCTTATTAATTCACCGAGAGCAAATGAATGAACATCTTGATTCCCATGGGTGAAATTTACTGGACTGCAAACAAACTTTCTACAACCTGTTTTGAGAGATCGTAATAAAACTGCATTTCGTAACACACTGGATACACAGTCATGTTTTCATTCAGTTCTTTACAAGTAGCTAAAAAGAATCACCAATTTAATATAAAAACAAAAATTTTGCAGTCCAGTACAGACACGTGACCGTTAACTGCAAAGGGCCTATTATTGTACGATAAATGACATTAGGAATGAAAAAAACCTTTTCTTAGGATTTGCAATGGAATATGTTTGGCTGGCAAGCTATTGTTAAATAGCAAATGGCCTCTTAGCATGATTGTTGATGATGATACCTTTAGTAAAATAATCCTTGTTTGGTAAAGGTTAATGGGCACTGCAGCTTCCAAAGACCTTTGATGTTACAATGTAAAAACAGGAGAGAAGTTGAGAGAGATCTAGAGGAGATTGATAAAGTTACATGTGAATTTATGAAATATGTTTTTGTCACTCGGTAAAGATCTATATGTTAAGTGTATGCTACACTTAACATAAAGTTACATGTGGTTTTTATTACATGAATTCAAAGTGTTTATTTTCCTCTCAACAGTATGTGAATCCTGCTTTTGAGAAAATGACAGGCTATTCTAGGCGAGATGTCATTGGACACACACAAAAACTGATGTACCTAGAACAAAGCAAGCCTGTAAGTATTCATATTTCTTTTTTTAACCTTTAACCTTCTGGGGTCTTGTGTTCAGATCCTAGTTGCGGCATCACAAGTGAGCAGAGATTGTTTGGTCCCTCCCTTGATTCAAGGGTTTTTCTCTGGGTTCTCTGGCTTTCCTCCCTCCACACACTAATTTCCAATTAGATCTTTGAATTAACTAACCAAGCCCTGACTTTTATCATCCCAGATCTTTATATGTAAAACATCTAAATGCTTCACTGTTTTCTTAAATTTTATCTTGAATTAAATAATAATACTCATATTTTATTTTTCTTGAATTTAAGGAATTATTTGAAGCAATTCTTTCACAACTGAAAAAGGGAACAGTAAGAGCAAAAATTCTCACCTAACCATTCCTGGTGTCAAAAGTTGTATCTTCTCATGAATGCTGAAGGATTTTAGATGCATTGCATGTTGGATTGCAATTCATTATCATAAGCTGTGCCATTATCAAAAAAACCCTGGGCCTTGTCCACACTATGCCAGATAAATTTGAATCAGAATTTTTTTTTATTTGGTTAGGCCTACCGTCCACACTAGTCCGGGCGAATCCAGAGGAATTCTTCACTGAAAACGAATTATTTTTGAATACGGTCTCCAGAGTGGAACATTTTGAAAACTCTGGCTAGCCATATTAGTGTGGACAGAAAACATTTCGTATCTGAAATTTTTCAAATATGATGATGTCATGATTGTCATGGGAACATGGCGGGAAGGCTAAAAATTCACTAACCTTCAAATTCCTAACCTTTATTATCCCAGTGAAATATAAGGTATTGTATTATTATTGATGCCATGCTTTTTCTTGCAGACTTGGGAAGGTTCTTTTATGGGGAAAAGACGAAATGGGGAGCAATTCTTACAAAATGTTCATATTGTACCTATCATAGGGAGGGGAGGGTAAGTAGAATGATGTCTATCATATAGAGAGAGTCAGTGGCTATACTTGGAGGGGAGGGTCAGTAATATTGTACTTGTATTAGGAGGGTAGGGTAAGTTGTATTTTTGTAATGGGGGAGGGGTAGGATAGTAAAATTAATGAAACTCAATACATGTCCAAGAAAAGGGATGGAAAAATGTTTTATTCACAGTTAGGGAAGAGCTCTTAAGGTTGATAATAATAATAGATGATGGAAGGAACTGATGGTAGTTTGTACTCATTTTTTTGATCACAGGAAAGTAGAACACCATGTTACTGTAAAAAGAGAATTAAAAGAAGCAAATTCACTGCACAACCAAGTCAACATGAACATGAGTGTAAATATGCATATGGAAACAGTATGTAGTCACTCTTGATATTTCAAGGGTGGATCCAGGGGGGGCAAAGGGGGGCTGAAGCCCCCCTTCAGCAGAAAAAAAAAGCAAAACAAAACTGAAGAATTAGATGCTTTTTTATTGTTTTCCATTGTGTTGATGGAAGGAACTCAAATAGCCACCCCTAAACTCAATTAGCCCCCCACCCTAAAATTTTGGCTGGATCCACCCTTGTATTTCTTTCTATATCATGGGACTCAAGGGTGGTGAAGGTGTGGAAACACCTCCTCACCTCTGGGTAGACCTTGAGTTCACTCCCTGTTAGGTCACTCACTTGATCCAAGGTGTTTTCTCCAGGTTCTTCACTGTTCCTCCTCTACAAACCCTAACAAGCTAAATTCCAAATCAATCTGTGAGTTAGCCATGCTCTGACTTTGATCAACCAAAAGGTTGTTTCAGGGATTGATTTGTGAGTTAGCTGCGCCCCAACTAGATCAGCCCAGAAGTTCTTTCAGGTTCTGATGAAAGTTGAGGCTTTCACGACATAAACCTGACTGGTTATCGTTCATCATATTCTCCATAACATTTTAATATTCTCCTTCTCCTCAGCCTAGTTCTGGTACTGGCCACAGAGATCCAATAGATTATAGTAGTACATTACCTAATGGTAAGGAATTAGAACAGCCCTCTATTGACTACATGCTCTCCTTGAGACCACCACAAATCTGTGAGATATATTATACTCTTCAATATACGTTTCCATTTTATAGTGTTATTATTATTATTACTGTATTAGTGAACAGAGCACGGTGCTGATGCCATCTGCATGCACAGGCAGCTTTGCAAAGAAGTTTTAATATGATTCTCAATTAACGGGAAACACTTTTTAGAAGTCAATTAGGAAATGAAGTTCTAAGTAGTCATGATCTTACATGGTTTTAATTTCAGGGAATCTTCATCGGCGGCCATCAATGACATCCAGAATAGAAGCACCAATAACGAAGGTTTCAAAATATTACTTTATCAACTCTCTGTTGTCCTCTGTCAGCCAGCTGATAGACTGTTGTCATGGAGACTGGTTTTYTTGGTTATTAGTTGTTATGGTAACATGCTGATTGTGTGTTTACTTATTCACAGGTTATAAACATGCTTAATGCAGCTCAAGAAAACAGCCCATCGTCTGTTGTCCAGGCACTCGATAGAGTCATGGTAAGATGCTATACCATTTGATAATGATTAAGCATTATTATTATCAAACATAAAAAATTTAAAAAAAATTACAATTATCTTTTTTCCGTCTAGATTTTCTTAGATTTAGTGTGTTTTTAATCTTATTTTTATGAAGGGAAATGCATGTTAGTCTATAATGATGCTAAATGACATTGTTATTGTTACAAGGTCATTCACAGCTAGGAAAGATTTTTTGGGGGATGGGGACCTTCTCACAACTAGTAAAATACTTCATTCCCCTTCACTAACAAAACCTGAAGAATTTTAAATATTCAATGCAAAGCAGACTGTACCTCTGGTTAGTGCTTACTAACTTTGATAAAGTATTCTGTGCTCTTATTGATCGCAAATGTCTCACTCTACTGCTTGTACTTTTTTACAGGAAATACTCAGAACTGCAGAACTGTATTCTCCGGTATTTGCTGGGCACAATACTATGGATGCTGATGATGTCATGGCCATTGACCTTGTTGGAGGCTTAATGAGCAATGTAATAACCTGTGAATTACATCTAATAAGCATTGTGTACAAATTATCCTTCCCCCCCAGAGGAATTTTTTAAAAAACCCACTACCCCCTACCCCAGGAAATTCCAATTTTCTTCAATGCAAACTCTGTAATTTTGTTCTTTCTCTGACCATCCCCCCACCAAAATTCTCTGTGGGTGGGGGAGGGGGTAGGAATAATTTCTGGAACTGCACATTACCCCTTTGTAAATTGACTAACCTACATGTGGGAAGAAAGACAACTGGAGAACCCAGAGAATAATCTTCAAATCAAACGCCAGACCTAACAAACTTAAATATGGATTCATGTCCTCCCTGTGACACCCTTTTTGCTATTATTGCCATCTGTATATTTCTTTTGCTAATAATGTAAATAAATTCTACTCACATGTAATTCTTAGTCACTGCCATTTTCATAAACATGCATACTCTGTAGTTGCGAGTTCCAAGCTGAAATTTGGTTTTTTGTAGCCCCAGTCAAAAATATGAAGGTACTGACTGATTAGTTTTGATTGACGGCAGGGAAAAATCAAATTTCTGTCTGCAGCTTATAGTTAGTGAGTTCACATGTTTATGAAAATAGCATTAAGGAATCAAACCTGATGTGAGCGATGAGTGCAATACAAGGGCAGATCCAGGGGGGCAAAGGGGGGCTGAAGCCCCCCCCCCTCTTCAGCAGAAAAAAATGATGCTTTTTTATATTGTTTTCCATTGTGTTGACAGAAGAAACTCAATTAGCCCCCCCCCCCCCAAATTTTGGCTGGATCTGCCCTTGCAATACCATTATGAAATCCTTGGTTCCCTTAGAATGAACAAGTTAAGTTTCCTTTCCTACAGGGACGAAGAAGATCTGGTTGTGAAATACAAAGATCAAGTCATCCATTTCACCCATCTAAAGAAAGTGGAAGACTAGCACACATTAGTCATGCACCTGAGATTCCTGCTGAAGTTAGCAGTGCCATGGTTGATGTCGCTGATTGGGACTTTGATATCTTGAAGCTTGAAAAAGCCTCCAATCACAGGTAAGCTGCTTGATAATGATGATCCGCTACGCCTCGAGTCTGTATATCGGATACAACACTCATATTGTAGATTATTTATCAAACGTCTAGGTTAGTTCCTTTGTGTTTCGCTAAAATTTTCAAGATAAAAGTGAATCTGGCCAAGAAAATCCATCTTAACGTTTATGCAAATGAACAGGATTCTGTATCTGATTTACAAAACTCTTCACGGTTGTGATTTCTGTTGTGTTTTCCTCATGAATTATCAATGAGTTTAATAAGTAATATTTATTACATGACTGTGAATCTTAGAGCCTGGACACTAGCAAATCGAGCAATCTGATTGGATAGATCGCATCGCAGACTGGTCTAGATTCTCCGGTATTAACCCGTCCAATCGCATATTAATCTTACAGCAAAAACATTTTGTCCTTTTCAATGAAAAGTGGTCATATAATAAAACTCTTATCAACCGAGCTTGGTCGGACTGTACGGGATAATCTTGACCTCAGTCGGGTACAGACCTTGGTCAAGATTATCCCGTACAGACCTCCCGCTTGGTTAATAAGATCTAAATACGATATGAGCAGCTGATCTGTATGGGATTTACAAAAAATTTTTCTTCACTATGAATGACAACCACAGTCATAATGCTTTTGCTGTAGTTAACAATGTTGATGACATTGATGATAGTGACGATATTGCTGCTACTGTAACTTCTTAATGTTGATTGTTGTTTAATCACTTTTATTTCTTTTTTAGGCCGCTTTACTTTCTAGGGATGAAAATCCTGAACAAGTTTCGTGTCTGTGAAAGGCTTAACATATCTGAAGAAATAATGAAAAATTGGTTACAGGTAAATACATATCCCTATTTTGCAGTTTGAACTCTTACCTGTAGGGACTTCGAGGTAAAAGATTAAACATAAGAAAATGTGAAAATGATTTTCAAGGTACAGGGAGTAGAGGCCATGTCACTATGTCTATGACAGTCATACACAGGCAGCTCCTTAAATGATATATTAATAATAAATAAATGATAAATAAATATATCAACTTTGTTTAGAGAGGATAACACTTGTCAGTAATGCAACTGATAAACTCTTGGTCCTCTTTTGAGGTAGTCTCCAGTTGAGTAGGGACAGGGCAGATATTAACGTGGTCATCGGAGCCATGTGAAGGTCTTACTATTTGCAGATGTAATTAGAAAAGCAGCACCTTCTCCTCAGTTATTTTAAGACCCCAAGTGTAAATCTGGCCAGGACTTGAACCGTGACCTCACAACAAACTGATGCTCTTACGACCTGAGGTAAATGGGCAACAGTTTAACAAAGTTGTATTATTTTTCAGTTAATAGAAGCTAATTATCATCGGAAAAATGCTTACCATAACTCTACACATGCAGCAGATGTCCTACATGCAACTGCTGTTTTCCTGGCTAAAGAAAGAGTGAAGGTAAGGAGAAAAACAAAGAAAAATGGGAAAAGGAAAGAAGTACATGAAGAACAACAATAGGAAAGAATGGAAGAAAAGGAATGGAAAAGAAAAAGAAAAGGAAAGAAATGGGAAGGGGAATGGAAAGTAAAGGGAGGAATGAGAAAAGAAAAAAGAGAGGAAGACCCAAGTAAATGTTGCACACATTTACAAGTTTATAAATTAAAACTAAGGAAGAAAGAAAAAACAAACAGAAATAACAAAATAGGAATTAAGTGTGCAGTTATGATTAAAATAGTTCAAACTTTCGAGTTAACCACTATGAGGAAATGGAAAGGAAGAGAAGAAAAGAAAAAGGGAAGAAAGGTAAAGGGAAGGAAAGCAAAAAAAATGGAAAGGAAAAAGGGAAAATATGGAAAGTGGGAATATATGGGAAATGGGAAAAGGAAAGGAGAAAGGCTAATCAAATGACTTTATTTTTGCTACAGGCTGTGTTAGAACCTCTAGATGAGGCTGCATCTCTTATAGCTGCTATTGTACATGATGTTGATCATCCAGGGTATACAAACTCTTTCCTTTGTAATGCTGGAAGTGAACTGGCTATTCTTTACAATGATATAGCTGTCCTCGAAAGCCATCATGCTGCCCTTGCATTCAAACTTACTGCTAGAGAAGAGAAGTCTAATATTTTTAGTGGGCTTGATGTGTAAGTAGAATAGATCATTGTTGATTTCATAAAAATACCATTGTCAAGGCTGCAAAGAAGTGCCAGTCATTAGACGAGTGTCCAGTGAAAGTAATGACTTGACTGGTAAATGATTAACCTTGACCAGATATTTGACCAGCTACACTTGGGTTTTGACAGGTCAAAATGCTTCTGGCCAGTTTTCTCTGTCCTGACTTGCTTATCAAAAACTTATTTGCAGCCTTGATTGTATGTCGTGATTACAGACTCATTTACTCAGGGTTAGCCTCATTTCAGTGTCACAATATTCACAATTACCAATGACAATGTAAAGAATGCACATCTTCAACAATATAAACACTTTGAAATGCTATGCATATTCACTGGAACGCATGAATATTGAACCCTGAACCCTGAGCAATAGAGAATTTGACACTAGAGTATTTGGGGTCGGTTATAGTGCAGTTTTCGTATGACCGTGAAAAGTTCACGGCACGAACACAGTCATGACACAGCAAGGGATATGCCAGACCAATTACATTTCATGAGATTTTACTCTGTATCCAATTAAATCCCTGGAACACGGCATAAACACAGCGCAGACACGGTCACGCCAAGGTCAAGGCAATGCAAGACCAATCACATTGCGCGTGGAAAAATCAGCCAATTAAAATTCTAGAAACCATCACAGTCATGGCATGCCACGCTTACGGCACTGAGCTTTCACAGTCATACGAAAACTCCTCTAAGAGTATGAACACATTGTACTCATGGAATGAAGTGTTATCTCCAAAACTGACAAAACACTGTTATTTCTTGTGCCTAGTGAGGACTTCCGCACCGTTCGGCAATCAATCATTGATATGGTGATGGCCACAGAGATGACACGGCACTTTGAACACTTATCCAAGTTTGTTAATAGTATTAATAAAAGACGGTCATCAAGTATGGATGAGGTTCATTCAGTGGTAAGTGAACACTCGATACCTGACAACTAACTTCAACAAATCAGTCCTGTCTCCCTCTACCCTAGAGAAAAGGAATTGAACTATGAAAATACATGTGTTGCCAATGGACCTTGCTCACGTGGCAGCCATGTTGACTAGAACAATAGATTTTTCCATGCATATCCTTGCATTCAAGTGCTTGAGAATAAATTTAGGTGGGTTAAACAAAGGGTTTTATTCCCATGAGAATAAACATGGCTGCCATTTGAATAAGGTTCATGGGAATGGTGGTTATGAGATTTCTTTTGAAGATATCTTTACAAGATTTCTATTCTACCATAAATTCTTAGACATTACATCTACACTGTCAATGGGAATTTTAATCTCAGGCACCCCCAGGACCCCCAGGGGATGGTAGCCGACCACTAACGTCAAAAAATCATCCTTCCCTCCCTTTCCTGCTATAAGGTCTTAGACATTACTTCTATACTGTCAATGAGAATTTTAATCTCAGGCACCCCCAGGACCCCCAGGGGACGGTAGCCGACCACTAACGTCAAAAAATCATCCTTCCCTCCCTTTCCTGCTATAAGGTCTTACACATTACTTCTACACTGCCGATGGGAATTTCAATCACAGGCACCCCCAGGAACCCCCTCAGGTTTATATCCCTCCCTTAAGCTGTTTAATTGGTACAGAATCTTACCTATCGAAATTACTTCAACAGCATAGTGGACGTGACACCCCAGACTCCAATACTTCGTCAACTACGGCATTGACTACTCCAGAGAACAGGACCTTAATCAAAAGAATGTTAATCAAGTGTGCCGATATTGCTAATCCTGCTCGGCCAAGATACCTTTGTAAAGAATGGGCTGAGAGAATAGCAGAGGAGTACTTTTCTCAGGTTGGTATACCAGAAAGAAGAGCAAAAAGTAGCTGAAAGTAATGATTTCTTTAAGGGTTGATTGTGGGATGGATGTGGGGTGGGAAATTGGTGCGGTGTACCTCTAAGGGCACCCTGTGTCCTGCACTAGCCTGCAGGCAAAAATCTCAAATAATACCAGTAAATATTTAGCTGGGATTTTTTTCAATAATTTATTTATTTATTTTATTCAATATTTTAACAGGAACATTAATTTAGCACAGGCTGGTTTTAATAGAGTCCTGCATAAAATAAATATAATTACAAAGTAAATAAACACTACATGAATTACAAGTTACATTACTATACAATATATTATTAATCAAAACTAGACAATCCCTTATTTCTAGTGTTTAAAATGGCTCTAAAATAATTGTTGTTTGTTTGTCACTAGACGGATGAGGAGAAGAAGCGAGGTCTTCCTGTGGTAATGCCAGTGTTTGACAGAGCAACCTGTAATGTGCCACGGTCACAGGTAAACTTAAACAAATCATTCATAAACTACACACTTTTTATAGAGTACTCTTAGAATTATCCTCAATATTATGATGTGAACAGAAAAGCACAAGAGAACCTCTCATGAGATTATTTGGAATTTGGAAAGAATTTTTTCATAAATGTAAATGTATTCTATGTGGATTGCATGGAGTGATTGCTCAGTTTTCTCAGCCAGAGGCTCATGTTTAAGGTAGATTAAATTGAAATTTAGTACTCAAGTTTTAGGGAGGAAGGAAAAAGGATTAGTTTTGCGTCAATAGTAAGCCAGCTATCACCTTTGAAGGGGTTCTTGCATAAGGATCGCACTACGTTTATCATAATTGCAACTGCATTTTGTATAGTGATTTAATAAATGATTTTTGGATCGATCCAGTGCTTATATACCAGTATTAAAATGTTCTTTGTTGTCTTTGCTTAGGTTTGGTTTATAGACTATTTTGTCAGTGACTTGTACGACGCCTGGGATGGTAAGTCATGTGTACACTGGACTTGATTATGTCTAAATTATTAAAAATCTGGATTGGAAATGTAGGAGAAATCTGGTTCAAAGAGATCTCAATATACAAGACATCCTCATTTAATGAGATAAATCCTGATTAATTCTTATGAGCTCGTAGTTTATTAGTTTCAAAGGTTGGAAGCCGAAAGCTCCAATCATTAAATATCTTAACCAGAAACAATAATTTTGATAATATAATCGTGGATAATTTTAAGACAATGGGAAGCCATTTTGATGTTATGGCATGTCGTACTGTGTACTCACTGTAAGACAGTACTATTTGTTCCCCTTAAAGACAACTCTAGTACAGCAGTAATATATTTATATTGTAAATTTAAATCTCCTCATGCCATTGCAAATTCTATTCACAGCATTTGCTTATGTGCCAGAAACCATTCGGCATTTGACAGATAATTACGATTATTGGAAGAAGAAAGCAGATGAACTTGTGAGTCCTGTCTGAATTGTAGGTTTGCCAATGAGAACTGTGCTCATACATAAGCTATACTTTCTATGATAATGATCCTGATATTGATATAAACTAAGATTAATATTCTTCAGCATTGGATGTTAGGGTTGTGTTGGGCAAAGAGTGACTCTGAATGATGGCCTCTTACTTGCATGATGGCCTGTGATTTGACTACCACTACCAAAATGCTTCCTGAATTTCTTTTATTTTTTAATTCAAATTAATTTTATTGCCTCTTGACAACAGTAAGACAGTTGGTGCTTATTAACTGAACAAAAGAAAGTGTGCAAAGGATTCTTGTAGTTGTAGTTAATGATGCCGTAATGCAAGTGTTCTATTTATATCAAATCAAGTTGGTCACTTCCTCAAGAAATGAAGAAGAAAAAAGCAGCCCAGATTGTGATTTGATTTTCATAGCCACTCTTGAAAAAATGGCAGAAGCTATGGAACTGTCAGTTGTTTAGCATGTTATGGATCACATTGTCCCATTAACTTTGCTTGTATGCCTTTGAAAACTGATTTGTACTGTAACTGCATCCCATTGCCAGAGAYATATTCTTTTTTAGACACGCAAGTTGCATTCTGGTCCAGCTGCAGCGAACAATGATGATTGTAGTACCCAAGCTAGTCCAGAATGCATAAGATAAAGGAAATTAGAGATTGCTAAGTAAAGCAAGATGGTTACATCATAGTATCATATTTGATAAGATGTACCTTATATTCCATAGCATATGCCATGGCCGTCTTTGCCTGATACACTCCATAACATCCTTTGATGATGTCAGAATGTGTAGTTCCAGGAATCCATACCCCTCTCCACAGAGGAATTTTTTTAAAGACCTCCCAACCCCCGGAAATTCCAATTTTCTTCCATATGACATACAAGCTCTGTATTTTTGTTCTTTCTCTGATCCCCACTACCCCTCGGAAATTCCAAATCCCTCTTTATTTTGGGTGGGGGGGGGGGGGTGGGGGTTATGGATAATTTCTGGAACTAAACAATAGAATAAAATAAAAAGTTTTAATACCAAGGCTCTTGTGTTGGCAAAGCAAATGTGACAATGACAATGACACCAAAATTTTCATGCACTTAAGAAAAATCAGGAAAAAATGTTAGATATGGTAAATGAGATAGATAGATCAATTGGCTTTACATTTTCTCAGTTCTATGCCAGCAAAAGACATTGAATTACCTTCACAGTAGACTCTATGCTTGTGGGGTCTTCTGTGTTTGTGCATGAGCACAGTTGATATTTCAACTTTTAAGGGGTGTACTGCCTCTAATATTTATCCACTCAAAATATTGGTCTAAAAAAAACAACAAGTGCTGTCAATCAGACAGAATTCTATTCAAAACTTGTGATTCAGTTGATAAACGTTTTCACATAAGACTTGGAATGATGTCAACCCAGCAATTAATAGCAGTATTGCACAACTTAATAAGACTGTGCAAAAAGAACTGTGCAAAAAATGGTATTTTTTGAAGTGTACATACCTGTGTACTACACAGTGGTTGTGTATGAAAACACCTCATTTGCAGAAAAATGCAATTCTTTACACGACTTTTTCATAATAATAGTATTGAATTGATTGTATTGATGATCATATTTCTAGGATGCAAAGCGTGCAGCCTCCCCTTCGAGTCCAACCACCTCAACCACAACTGCAGGCAGTTCAGCTAGTACTGCGCTCAATGCTGCATCAACAGTGTCATCCACATCTGATGCCAGATCATCTTCGATGACATCCTTGACATCCGTCTAACTTAACCAGGCAACAGTGTACTTGAGCACACTATTTAAAACGTCAACTACTACAAGAGAGATATCTGATATTATACTATGAAAAATTGTAAATAGCATCCCTTTTGGAGAGACACAAAGAAGATATTCTCTATAACAAAAATGCTATATTCTATTTATTTCTTGAGTGAAAAAAAATTTTTTTTTGTTTGATGAAATGGACTATACATAAAGTGAACCTATAAATACTGTGTTTTAGATCAAAAAATCAGAAATTTTCACAGTTGAGGTGAATTGACTGACAAAGAGCAATGCCGACAGCACATTATTTTTACACCTGAGACCATGATTAAGGGGAACATACTCTATCATGGAAAAGGTTTCAAAAAAAAAAAACACTGTTAAACACTGGTAAATGCTATAGATCCTGAGTCTAGAGTCTATGGAACTGATTATTTTGTCCAAAAAAAAAAAAAAACAATTTTCCAATTTGTTATGGGATCAGAATTTTAAATTATGAAGCAGTATCATCTTCTTGGCATTGCAGAATGGTGATACTGGTCACGATTAAGTGATTAGTATCAATCATTTGCGAATCAACAGATATTGTAAATAGGTTGAATCAGTGTTGAGAGATTGGCAGCTGTCAATCATGATTTGTGACAGCTGTGGATTGTCAAGGAAATGCTTAGTTCAGATCACACATCTCAATTGTGACTGTTAGCTTCCTGAAGTAATCTTCAAGGTTGACCAGTACAGATTACCTTACTTTAATAGAATTATAAAACCCTTTCTACATGTTTCTAGCTAGAGCTGTTAGTAAAAATCAGACAAAAAGCTTGGAACAGCACAAATTAATAGCAGTTTTTTCAACCTTGTTGATTACTACAGTGTACAAAACCAAATACAATGACATTCTTCATTTTCCTTTTGTTTATCCCCTCGTTCAGTGGAATAAGTTTTGGTTCAGTAACGCAGGATTTGGTGATTTTGCCTGATTATGGTGTAATATTAATAATATTATAATACAGAAATTGTAGAGATCATAGTAGTTTTTGAAAATTTATCATATTATACAAAATGATTCATTAATATTATAAGATGCGTATTAGACGTATTGTTATTATGAAAGAAAACTACAACTACGAAGCAATATGGGACATGTCGTTTTATCGACGTTAAGGTATTGAACAGTGTATGTAGTATATAGTATAATTAACTCGTTTTTCTATTTTTAATGCTTCCTCGACTGCTTGTAAATTAACTTTAGGTTCTCTTCATTCTCTTTCAAAGCAGGATTTTTAGTTTTACTTTGTAGCCTTTAAAGTGACCTTGATATAAACTTTGTACATGTTCATTCAAGGGTTTCTTTAGTCCTACAGCTTTAGACTGCAACCCATTTAATGAATTATTGATAATGATTAATTTTATCTTTCACGGGGGATAGTCAGGTGACAAAATGATATTTCAGAGTTGATTATTTTAAAATCATATTTATACTTGGTAAAATTATTATTAATAAACAAAACCAAATACATTGCTTTATTATTTTCTATTATACAAATTCCCAAAACTTATTCACTCAAATTATTTTGCATGTTGTCACCTGAGTGCTCATCCCTCACAGAAGTTTCAATTTCAAATTCCTTCGTCAGTAGTAACTGCTGAATGTTTTTAGTTTCATCTTTATTCCAATGTTGGCTGATTGTATTTGCCATAGCTTTTGGCATATGTAATAATAAATCATTGTCCTGTGGTCCTTCTCTTACGTATACTCTCACTGTACAGCTGTAAGGAGTACTAAATTATGGTGCTTTTATTTGAGAAGTTTATCAAAAGCTTGTTGCTGTGCTATAGTTTGGTACTAATATTATAGATACCAGTATGTACGACATTCTGAAGTAAAAAAGCATCAAAAAATTGACTTGCTGTTGGATACATCTTCATCATGTTTGGGACCACAAAAGAGTGTCTTAATAGGTCAGGTGGAGAGGGGTAATGACACTGACTAATCGAAATGGAGGCCAAGATTCATAGTTTTATTAGACCCCTTGCATGTGACGTCAAAGCAGCTCAATTTGGAGGACAAAACAAAAGAATTTTTATCTCCAGAGAATTGGAAACCTATTTTTATGTCCTCCAAACTGAGCTGCATTCTGATGTGCTGCAAGGGGTCTTTTTATTCCCATTGATATTACTAACTTGTTTCAACTTCGCAGTCTCTAACATGTCATTATTTTAGAATGGAGTGCCGATATAGAGGCAAGAAAGGGTTCACTTATAGCTTTGTGCTTCTCACCCACTACCCCTACAACAAACCAGGAACACCCACACCACCCCCCTGGGGAACCACCATAAGCATCACCCCTCCACCCACCCAGAAAAATTCCTCTAATGTAAAACAATTTACAAAGAAAACAAGGCAGTAAGCACAATAAAAGTAAAAATTTATTACAATAGGCTAGGACATGAAGGTATTCATTCATACATGCTGTTGATATAACAGCCCCAATTCCATTGGTGGCAAGAAACAAGATGGTTGATTCTTGGTAGCCTGCATTCAGCCGGTATAAAATCCTCGAAATTATTTCAAGGGAGTTATACTGGCTGAATGCAGGCTAACTCTTGGTAGTATAAATTATGATAAAACAAACCAAATTTATGGCTAGAAAAGAGTTTGTGAAATATGGAAACTTTAATGAGTAGCAAGACTAAGACACTATATTATAACAGGAGCCATTTTGTTTAAATCCTCTTGTGATACACTGCAATTTTTTTAGAATGAGATTGTAATGCAAAAATAAAGATTTTCATTCAATGGGATTATTCAAAAATGGCCTAATTATGATTAGTCAAATGTGACGTACCAAAAGTTGAGATCTTGACGATAAGAGTTTTATAGAGGAAAAGGGGTGGTGTTATTTCTAATAATATTGCATATTCTAGTCTAGTTCTTCTTGACTTTGAAGTTCTCGTACTTGCTGTGACTGCGGTACCATATCATCAGAGGTAGGAGCAATGTTGGTATACACATAAGGCTGAACAACCCCCAATCCACCTAAAAAACAATGGAGAAAATAAAGGTTTTGTGGATTTAACTAACACTCGCACACTACTTTAGATCATTTTTTGTATGACTGAAAAGCTCTGGTGTATGCTTGCCTTGCCATGACCAAGATATTTTCTAGCTAATTTTTTTCTCAGGCAATGTAATTGGTCTTGCAGTGCCGTAACCTTTGTGTGACTGTGTCCATCCCCTATTCCAAGTATTTGATTGGATGCAGAGTAAATTCTTGCACAATGTGATTGGTATGGTGTAGGCCTTGCCGTGTCATGACAGTGTTGGTGCTGTGATCTTTTCACAGTCTTATGAAAACTGCTCTACTTTGCACTGCATGAATACAACTCAAAGCCCACATTTTGATTTTATTGGAGGAAGGGAACCAGAATATCTGATGAAAAACTTGGTGAAAACTAAACAAATGAGGATCTCGCACNAAATCCCCCCCCCCCCCCCATGTAGCCTGCGTAACAGTTAGTTCGGCTGCATGCAGGCTACCCCCATGTAGCACTTCAGGATAAGCACTTCAGGATAAGTTAACCTGAGCACAAACAAAAGTTTTTTATTTCGTGGGAATTAACATGGTGGTGGCACAAGAAAGGTCCACAGGGACCCAACCGTTTAGGACAAAAAACAGTAAAAAGCAAATGTTTACCCGTGTGCTGACCCTGGGGACTTGATCAAAACATGATCAAAAGGCATGGATAGACACCCAAGGAAATTATCCCTTCACAAATATATATTACACAATATTAGCTGAGATGACATAGAGAAGTTTTTCCATACCAGATGTGGAGAATGCTTTCTCTGGTAGTCCTTGTTGCTCATGATGCCACCTTCACCAGGTGCTGTAGAGTATGCAACCTAAACAAAATATAAATATATTATATGACATAATAATATTATGAGCCAAATTATCTCATGTCCCATCCATTTTTCTCTTCCCTGTGAATTAAGAAATGGCCATTATTCTGCATGCGTCTATCAATCTAAGAAAATATAGATGAATTTGTATACGGTTAAAAGAACTGTAAGAGACATGATATGAGACCAGACACTCGTTGAGGGTGTCTGTTTTCACTTGCAACGAAATGGGAGTCAAAGTTGAGGTCAGAAGCAGCTTATGGCAAAAGTAAAGACCAGAGAACTGAGTCTGGATCAGATTATAAACTGTGTGTCAGAAGCAGAATTCTAGGATTGCAAGGATTCATTTTGCTTAGTTTGCTTACTCTTATGACAAGCAGCTTTAACTTGCAATTTCACACATGAAATACTTCCCACTCTAATTCCATTGCAATTAAAAACAAGGCTAACAGAAAAATATGTTCACCATTTGCTTTAGAACGTAGCCAGAACAGAAAAAGTGTGTCAATAAATGGGATAACGTTCTAATGAGATTCTATCAAATAGTTGATGAATATTTCATGACTAACGAGGAATTTCTTTAACGTTACCTGTACTGGGCCATCTTCGCTAGCTTTGTATGTAACTTTAGCAGCAGTGAAATTAAAATTGCCAGATTTCAAGGGGTGTAGGATGATGGAATGGGAAACATTAGTTCCACTAAATACAGTCAAGGATGAAAATAATCATGATAATAAAACAAATGATAGGCTAGCTGAGGAATAAGCAAAAAGCTATTTCAATTGTACTGAAAGTATAGAATTCATTAGCCAATAGATTTTTATCTGAGCTGAAATGTTTGAAACCCCTTTTTATTATTTTGAGAATAAGATTCTTTGTTTATTGTCTTCTCATGTGCAACCATTAAACAAAGAAATGATACTCTAGGGAATGGCATGTGGTCTGAAATGGGAAAACATTATGCCCAAGCTAAAGAAAACTATTCCTAATTATTACGAAAGAAAGAGAAAATGAACTCTAGGAACAAAAGAAAAAGGAAGGAAGGAAAGAAGGCCGAAAAATGGAATAAATACAATTATTTTGTCTCCTATTGCCCATAAAAAGTATAAGTAAGGATACGGAGCTATTGATTTCCACTTGATAGAAGATAATCCATGAACAACTTGAAATGCAGACTCAGGGAATGAATCTTCTGTCAATGTGACTGCACTGGCAGGGCTGAACAACAATGAACAAGTCATGTATTAGCCAATATTAATTATTGAATATTTACACAGGTCTGACTTCACATGATAGACCTAAAAAACTTTAGTAAAAGGATCAAGTAGGGTTGTATCCAGAGATTCTAGGGTGGCCCCTTTCTTATTGGTATCTAAAGCCTTTCAAATTATATCAAAACCTAGAACGATCTCTGAGTTGTAGGGTCTGGGCACAGCTAACTCACAGATTAAATTTAACGGGAGGGAAACCAAACAATCCAGAGAAAACCCCTCGAATTCTGGGAGAAACTTAACATGTGATGCCAAGTTGAGAAATCAAGCCAGGATTGAGAGGCCAATGTACTACCATCAAGAAATAGTGACATATATTTACCTAGATCCAACGTTGTATATAGTGTAGTGAATAGTAAGATCTTTGTTTTCAACAACGAACTGATTCAATACATTCTTTGCAACAATGAGCCTTGCACTTGATTCTGAATCAGCACAATGGCTACTTCCTACCAATGCTCCAAGAACTAACGCCAACAGCAGCTAAAAGATAATAGAATAATTATCAATAAAGATTTCAAAAAGAATAGCAAACCACAGGGAACCCAACACAAAGTTTGGAACTATAAAACAAAAGAGTTTCATAGAAAATTAAACGTGGATAGGAAGAGACAAGAAATATTGGTATTTGCTTCTAAAGATAAAATACGCAAGGTGTTTCAAAGTTTTGAATTTAAGTTGATAGAAAAATTGATATTTAAAAGCTCAACGAACTTGGAAGACACGTTTTTTGTTAAAAGCTATATTCTAGAAACCCTAAATTTGATCAAATCTGTGATATTTTGTGGATGGATTCTTTTGGTATTCCATGTAGAAGACATTAAGGAAGGTGTATGTGTGGATTATGATGTGAATTTCCGGTAGGTTCCTTACCATTTTCGGTGTAATCTTCGCCGCTTCGTCCTTCGCCTTTTGATTCTTTACAAAGAAAAAAGAGAGAGAAAGATGACGTGTTATGAGCACGCTCCAATGATATATCACGCTGACCGGCACATCCACGCAGGCGCAGCTAAGAACATTTCTTTCCTACTCATTCTCATTCTATCCCATACATTCTTTTTATCTTTTTGTTATAATATCATAATAATTTTTTTGCTGTACAAACAAACTAAGCCACTATTTTTTAAATATTATCGAAATTAATCGAGATAAAATTCTGGCGTTTCGCACATAAAATTTTAAAGAAATAAAAAACAATTGGAAGAAACGAATGTGTTTTCAGACGTTTAACGAATTAAAAATGAAAATAATTGAAGGAATTCTAGTCGGTATTCTATAATTTATCAATTTAAAACATACATACTTCATGTATTAAAGATACTATTGTTTATGAGAGAAGGAATATTATAGAATTTGTTCCATGAAGTATGTGTCTTGATGACGTCACGTCGCGAAGAGACCCGATCCAAACACAGACATCCATTGACCGTTGCTGTGTGTGATGATCGTAAGTACGTCTTGTAAAGTGGAGATTTGTATTACTGTTTAGAGGGAGAATTATTTACAAAACACTCAAAATTCATATTTTAGAAGAACGTTTTCTTCCCTGAGCTGATGTTTTACTTTGGACAAAGGATTTTTCACCCAAAAGCCACGTAAACCTCATCAAAACTTACTAGTAGCGTACTTCCTAATTCTCTTTTTGTGAGAGATTCTTGTCCAATCATCAGTTCTAAGATGCATTAGTTCTCATTGTGATGAAAGTAATATGGGAACGAATGTTCACGAGGAAGTAGATCGGCTGACTCAACACGGTCATACCTGTCTTTCTGAAGGCAACATAGACGATGCTTGCTCTGCTTTTGAACGAGCAGCAGCTCTTTCTTCTCACATCGAGGAAGGATACACCGAAAGAGCCTGTTATTTTAACCTCGGAGCTTGTTATGTAGCCCAAGGGGATGCCAGGAAAGGTCTAGAGTACTTAAAGAAAGCTGTTCCACCAGACAAAGACAGCGATGGATGCGCTAACTATGCAGACCTTCATTACAACTTGGGCTTAGCTTATGATGCTTTAAACCTACTTCAATCTGGTGTTGAATGCTACGAAACCGCATTAATGGAGTATAAAAATCAAAATAATCAAGAAATGCAAGCCGAGACGTTAAACAAGCTAGCAGTTGATTGTTCAGCTATCGGAGAAGCTAAAAAGGCCGCAGATTATTTCGGAGATGCTGCTGGGGTTTATAAAGGTCTTGGCGACAAGAAGAACGAAGTGCTGGCTCTCACAAGCCGTGCTAGTTTATTGGGGCTCTTAAAAGAGATCGATGAATGTGCAAAAACATTGACGTTAGTGATTGAACAATGTGAAGACTTGACTGACCAAACACTACAAGGTAAACATACATAGATAGTTCCTCACTATCTGTAGCCACGACACAGCTTCTTGAAATTTAAAATGATCATTTAATTTTATATTCCTTTAAAAACATATTAAAAATTCAATAACTAACGATAAATATCTTAGTTTCCACTTTGTACAGATATTTTCCAGAAATTTGTCTTTGTTACCGTGGTAATGTCAATCAAATACTAATGTCATTAAAGGGTAACCAACCCTGCAAAACAGGTTCATCTAGCATGTCTAGCTGCACAGAAAGTTACGAACATGGTCTAGGAAATTCTTTTTTTGGCAGAGTTATGTGTTTTATTATGACAAGCCTTACTTTGAATTCCATTCCTGCATTCAGGTAAAATCTACAATGATCTTGGTCTCCTATACAATGGCCTTAAATCATACAAGCATGCAGCAGAATGCTTTGAGATTGCCATTCCTCTCATTAGTGGTGCCAGTCAAGAGAAGGAACTTGAAGCTGTTCTGCGGCAAAATCTTGGAGCTGTTTATAACCAGTTGGGTCAGTACAGGAAAGCTCTTCAACATCATAAAATTGCTGGTAAACTACATGGTAAGAACAATTACTTTCTTCCTAAATTGTAGTTCCAATTTTAATCCATTTTTTTCTCATTCCAGGTGAACTGGGCAGCAGATCAGCTGAAGGTCAAACATTCTGTAACATGGGATTTGCCTATAGTCAGTTAAAAGACTATGAAAATGCTAAAGACAGATTTTCTCAAGCAATACAAGCATCTATTGACACCAATGACACAAGAAGTCACTGGCAGGCAAGTGAAGGACTTGCAGCAGTTTATTTCCTTCAAGGGAACTACAAAAAGGCAGTGGAGAACTATAAAATTGCACTCGGTTTGTTGTCATCTTCAGGGGACATTACTGCTGAGCATAACGAGCGCATAGTAAACAAGCTTGCTGATGCAATGAAGTTTCAGTTAGCACAAGGAAAGTCAGATAATTGGCAGAAAAATAGCAGCTACAGAAGATCAAAGGGTTCTAAGAAAAGCCCACAGAATGGCAAAGATGAGCTTGACATGGAGAAATCTTACAAAAGAGTTGGTAAAACCAGATTAAGGAAAGAGAATCATAGACTTATCGCACATGGATTAGCTGGGCATGACATAACTGAATCTGATGAACCTGATTCTTCAAGCAACAGTAGTGACTCTGAATCTGATGCTGAATTTAAAGGAGAACAAGCAAGATATGTTTCCACTCCAAAAGAAAAGAAGAGAAGAGAACGGAGAGAAAAGAAGAATTTGACTGGCAGTAGGCCGGAGCTTCTCCTGTCAGGGCCTTATCAGAAATTGATTAAAAACCGGAGATCAAGTGCAGATGATAATAATGAAGCATATGAAGAACCTGTTGATGATAATGTCGCACCTTCACCTTCAAAGGAAAGAATCCCCAAAGCTGATTACTCTGTGGAAATGCCAAGAGCTTACCGAGAAGCTTATCTGGCATCTATTGCTAATTCATCCCCAGAACACAGTAGAGAAGTAAAACGGGTATCATTAGATAAACAACCACACACGACAAAATCAAAAACCTGTGTTATCCAATGAATAAGTTCTGCAGCTTTTTATCTAGTATATAGTTATGCAGCTATTGGACCTTAAAGAATTTTACTGGGCCCGAATGTATGAAGGGTGTATAGCTCTATTCAATGGATAAATCTTATCCAGTGGATAAATTTATTGGAAAACAGCATTGACTTATCCACTGGATAAGGTTTTATCTATTGGATAGTGCTATTCACCCTTCATACAACCGGGCCCAGGTGTGTAGAATTGCTGGCATGAAAATTGACTTTACTGAGCAGAAGTAACATGGAAAATCTGTTATATTTGTTTAAAGAGGTTCGCCAGAGTAGGGATTACCTTGTAAAGAGGGAGGCATGGAGGCAAGACATCATTTATCGCTTATTACCTGGTAAAAAATTAACAATAGCACCTTGTGCGGTAGTAAGAAGGGTTCTTGTATGAGTGATAAATGATCTGATACTAACAGCAAATTTGTAGTTAGCATCTTAACATAACTGTAGTGCATGCTAAACAATGGAAAAACCATTTTAGTGCTATAGCATGTCTTACCAAGTACATACACGTAAGTCAGTATCATATTTGCCTGGCAAAAAAAAAATAATTGTGACACATCTAATTATCCATTCACTATTGTCAACTTTATTGGCATGGTGGTTTGGTCTACATGTCTCCATTTTGCTCTAAATCTGATGTACATACAGTCAGAACAGTCAACCAAAAAAGTTGGTTTCTATTTTTATACATACAACTTAAAATATATATACTTAGTTTTTAACATTTATATAGTACAGAAGTTAAAAGAATTGGTTTAGTTTTTTCTATTCTTAAGTACTAATCCTTATAAATTTGAAAGCCCTGTTTTTGTACCAAAAAACATTTGGACCTTTGTTGGCCAAGAATGCGTAGATTGCTTGCAGTTTAAAAATATCCATCTTCACCATCTACGTAACGCAAGTCATAATTTTCAATTTTTTCCACTTTGGAAATCATTTTCAAAGTTTCATAATTTTTTTCAGTAGCCAGAAATGCTGTGTAGTGTTGAAGCAAGGCCAAAATGAATAAAGAAAATTGCATTTCCAAATAAATTTATTTGCTACAAACCTAAACCTTTTATGATTATCATTTTGTATATTTCAATGGTTAATATGTACTGTTTAAAAAACGAGCAGGAGTGTTTTATCAGGTATGAAACACGAGGCGCAGCCAAGTGGTCTTAGACCCGATAAGACACGATCTGCGAGTTTATTAAACGGCTTAGAAAACTCATGATGTATGTTCTCATATTGTACAGAATACTTTACGAAATGAACCAAGTTTGATAGAGAAAATCCAAGTTAAAGTTTATGCAAGTGAAGATGAATCTATATCAGATATAAAGTCACCTTCATGGTCATGATTTCTATTGTGTTTTCTTCATGAATTATTAATGAGTTTTCTAATATTTCTTTAGTCAAATTAACTTCAGCATTTTAGAGTGATTTTCATAAACTCATGAAACAGATACCATTAGTGTGTAATAGTGAAATGAGAACAAAATAACACCATGGAATTAGGCTCTACTAATTTGTGTGTATTTCATGGGTTTATTTCATGGGTTTATGAAAAACCACTCTACATTCTAGCATCAATGTTATGATATAAACCAGTTGTAGTACAAATAGATTCACACAAGTCTTATTATAAAAAAGCAGTTTTATTTGTTGTTTCTTCTAGTACTGTACATTCTAAATAAAAAATGGTAATGAGTATGAAGAGGGCCTGTAGTTAGGGGCAACAGGTCTAGTATTAATCTCCCCACCAGGAGGACGTATGGAAATAAAAGTGAATAGAAGGTTAGCCAATCTGGATATAAAGTAAAATAATCTTCAGCCAATCAGGAAAGAGAAGAATCAGTAGTGTTATAGCTTAGCCAATCACTGCTTTGTTTTCATTCTGAAATTTTGATTGGTTAACCCCAGAAGAGCAATCCTGACTGGAGGCTCTGTAACAAGTAAATCATAATGAGAAATCAAATAAAATTAACTAATTCACCTAAAAYGATGAAAATTAAATAATCTATTTACAATAATCAACAAAACTCTAGTCTAACTGTAAGAACAGAATTTTTCCTGTACTTCTTGAAATTTTCACAAGAGCATAGGCTATATCAGTTTTGATTTCGATTATCGTAAGAGTATTTCAGTAAAATGGAGAAAGATCAGAGTGTGTCAATTATGATCTTTCAATGTATGTACAACATTGTTAAAAATGATTCRCATAATCAATATTTCAATTTTTGAAATTCCAATAGTTTCTGCTATATATTTGCATTAATTAATGTTTGATCAAAGTTTTCAAGAGTGTAACTTTTAAAAAGTTAAAATATTTTTGCTAAATAGATACATTTTTGATTGATAAATGGATCAAATTCTTCACTATCCACTATTATTAGTACAGTTATCAATAATATATACATCTGCGTTTGCAAGGAGGGTGCTCTTTTAGATGATGATTTTATTTCTTTTTGATGAGCGTAATGCAACCATGTGCAACCACCATACTTGATGTTTAGGTACAATCACACCATAGTTAACTATCTTCACACTAAGCCCATATCTGGAAGAAAAAAATCACACACTTTCTTACTACCAATCATGTGGCTTTTTGGAGTTGACCGGGGCAATCTGAATATGCAACAAACATGTCAAAAATAATAAGTTCTCAATGTATCTATTTCACTGTGCCTTAAACCAGAAATTAAGATACACAATAGTCATACAACATCCAAGATCTTCCAAGCTTCCAAATGTTGGTTACTTCCCAGTCAAAACACAGATATTACCGGAAGTGAAGTCTTTTAATAGTAATCTATATCATCATGCATAATAGACTGAAATAAAATGCAAGATTGCGGCATTAGTTACCCTAAGAGTTTGATCCCAGCTTCCTGTACATACACATGTACCATCAGGGGACACACGAAGGCTGCTAAGTCGATTGTCATGACCATAATAAACAGCAAGCCTCTCGGACTGAAAAAGTTTAAAATGCTAATATTAGTATATTATATTATTATTATTATATTATTATATTATTCATACATCCTCTAATAATAATTGACCTATCCCTTGCATTTCAGTCTCTATGGGTATTTCTCATATGGCAGCCGTATTAGACTGTACAATAGATTTATACCCTGGGTTTAAACAATGAACATAGCTAAGGCATGAGGAAGTATTTCAGTAGGACATTCTCTCATCAGTGGCAGATATGGAGGAAGTTTATAGACTACCACATTGAAAGGTTGGAAGACACCTATTATACACCCATTGGAAAGTCCCCTTCACAGTTCCCTGCACCATTTTTGAAAGGTAGTTGTGTCTTTGCATTGAAGAGAGACAATGTGAGCTTTCGATGTTAGAGACCTTTTTAAACAACTTGGACAATTATTCAAGTCTCCATCATTGCAAGTTCACCCTTTGTCTTGCTTCAATTCACAGGCTACCTTTCAAGATGGCGCCGGGGACTGTTAAGGGGATTATTACCTTTAAGGTGTCCCAAACATGAACTGTGTAGTCATGGTAACCCGCAAACAAAATTCTACCTAAAGACAGGGGAAAAAAGAACAAGTTTGAGATTCAGAAGAAGTTGCTGAAATAGAGAAGAGGCTTTTGAATGAAATGTGAATACCCAGTTGGCTTCAATAAAAAGTATTGCTGCAGTTATGTTGAAAACTAAACTATACCAGTGTAAGATTCTTACCACTTATAGAAAAGTCTAGAGATGCTGCACCAAAGATCACATGGTCTTTGTAATATGTGCTTAATAAATGGTCAGCTCGTAGATCAAACAAACGCAACTGAAAGATACAAATAGCAATATAAATCTTAGGATGGGTCTATAGGGATGTTTAATATGTACCATTTCATAAATAAGTTCAACTAGGAGTAATATCAAAAAGACAGGTATTGTACGCATCAATGCTGTGTCTACCTATATATTATTTAATTGTCCAAGTTTTGGGCTCATCGAGCCATCATCAAGGAATGGTTGCAAATATGAATGATACACCATTGTACGGTGATATTATTACCTTTCCATCATCACTTGCTGTACCAAATGTATCACCACCAGGATAAAACCTATGAAATTCATAATTACATTTTATCTAATATATTGCATAAGATACAACAGCCTAACATAGAAAGACAGTAATTATGATGATAATGATATTTAACAATAATATCTAATACTTATATTGTGCATTTTCTATATAAATACTCAAATGCGCATATAACTATAATGTTGATACTTGCTGAGCTTAACATGTATTAGCTCACCTGACACAGTTAATATCAGAGTCATGATCATCAAACGAATTAATGACCCGTCCAGTCCTAATGTCCCATACATGAGCCTTCTTGTCACATCCCTACAGAACATAAAGCATATACTTAGCATGTTGTACTTAAGTCAGTAGTAAATAAACATATTATAAAGCCTATAGGGATTTAAAAGGGTTAGTTTGAAAGATTACATACCCCAGATATGAAGATGTTTCCTCCTTCTGAGGGTGATAAATCAAGACTGAAAAAAGAACAATGGTCATGGTGATGAAAATATTATGGTTGTTTAGTATGCAAAATGATTAAAGTATCCAGTTTTATCCTAAAATATTTCTTAAAACTTTTGAGTTATACCTCATTACATCAGAATAATGACCATGAAAACTCTGTATCAACTGATTAGATTCTACGTCCCATAGACCACATGTTGAGTCACCACTTCCTGTAAATATCTGCACATAAAAAAAAAAACAATTTCAATAACTCTAAAATAGGTAACAGATAAAGACATAGGTAAACAGGAGATGGCTTGATTTTTCAACAGTACAAAAATATCCTATTAGCCTCATGTTATCAGGCTCACAATAAATTATGAAAATATTATGGTCTTGTTAACTCTTTAATTATACAGCTTCTCATTAATCCTATATAGGTAACTGTCCAATTATTTTCTTAATTGGACAGGTCTCATTGATATGGGATTAATTAGGCAGCTATATAATTAATAGGTAATGGGATTTCATGCTCCCCAATCAAGAAATAATTAGACTTGAAAAATTCCTCTGACTGTGAAATTGGACTTGGCCTACGGCCTCATCCAATTTTGTCAGTCCTTGGAATTTTCCTCGTCCAATTATTTCTTATTTGGACAGCATGGAGTCCTATTACATATACTAACCTTGGCCCCCAAATTTTATTAACATAATGACCTTTTGATCCCTGACACATGCCGTATAACTATTACAGAATCATTTATTTAATCTTTTYTTACTGTTATTATGGGAAAGGTGTACCTGATGATCTGAGTTAGCAAATTTACAACACGACATGTAACTGGTATGCATTGCTACAGTTTGTTTCTTTGCATTCTGTGCGTCGTCATAACTGAGCTTGAAAACTGAACACTTGTTATCCAAACCCCTACAAGGATATGAGCAGGTAAAATTAACACAGGACAGATAATGCTAAGTTAAGTTGTTTTTCGATTTACTCAGTTGTCAGGAGCTTTTGCGACTTACCCGCATGCAACCAAGCTTCCTGATGGTGAATATGAACATGCCATTACCCAAGTGGTTGGCATGGAGATTGCATGTTCCTGTTGGGTTAAAACATATGTGAATAATCAGCTTGCATTGATATCTGTAATAAATTATTACTGTAATAATTTAATTCGAGTTTAGTAAATACTCATCTTTAGCTTGAGCATAAAGACCATGTGTCATTCCCTAGAGTATTATTTCTTTGTTTAATGGTTGAACGTGAGATTAAGACACATAAATATGGATAGTCCCAAACAAAAAAACCTTATTCTCAAGAACATGACACAAGGTCTTAAATGGAAAAACATAACACCCAAGGAACAAGGGACTATAACTATTTAAAAAATATTAGTTTTTAATACCTTATTAGTTGTGAAAGCATCCCAGACTATAACTTTACCATCCTTCAAAAACAATTTAAAAATTTCAATACTAAAGATCAACTTATATATTAAATATGGGTGGAGTAAGAATATACAGTACCATAAATGAAGGAATTTCACATACCTGTGAACTACTGACTAGATGTCGTCTATCACCAGACCAGTCCATGCATAAAACTTTACCTTGATGACCCTTTAAGATACGCCGTACTTTCATGTGACATCCCTGTAGACTTTGAAGTCGCTCAGCAACATTCTTAACTAGATGTGAAAAAATGAAAAAATGAAAAACTGGGATACAAACTGAAATGATGGGAAATAGCTAACTGAGACTAAAATTTCCTATCATTTAGTACTGTAAAATGGAGGATGAAATCAGTTTTGTGTTGTCAAAATTAAAACGAAATGGTCAGCAAGCATATGTTCAGCTGACTGGAGGAGTGTCCATTTTCAGTTTATATTCTATTGATGGATATATACTACTTTGCTGTCTAAAATATGTGTTTTTTTACTATCATAAGATAAATTAAAGGTGTATTTTAGAGTAACTTACCATAAGCTCGTTAAAAAACTCGTTTATTTGGGCAAAGATTAATGATTTTTATCTCAAGCACACACAGGAAGCCCAATCCTAGATTCTCTCAGCCAAAATCAGACACACTTTATTTATATTTTATCACGTCAAAACTACATTAAAATTTAAAAAGATATTTTTTTCTACTGGTTAAAGCGGTACAAGCAATATTAAGAGAAACTACGATAATTTCCTGCTTTGCAAAAGAGAAAGTGCACAAGAAACAGCTCACGTCAAGACTCACTTTACCGCTCAAAAACCAAACAACCCCAGCGCTAAAGCACACAGTTAGATACGAAAGCTTACGTTCTTTATCGTGGTATTTGCATATCTCTTCTTCTATCCTTATTTTTAGTTGTTCAGCTTCTCTGGAGAGCGAATCTAGAGTGTCTTCAGTCTCAGTACAGCACGCCATCTTCTTTCTTCTTTCTCAATATTTATTTTGTACATCCGGGACCCTTGATCTAGCTCTACATCCGGGACATTCAATATACGGGTACTTTGACCGGTTTGGTTGCTATGACTACAGGAGTCTGGGCATGAACACAAATTTCGGATCAAGAAAACAAAGAAAAAATATCAAAAAATCCTCTAAAAATATCGAAAGATTTCGTGATATTCCATTGATATTTTTCAACATATACCCTCAGTTCTTGCTACTTAAATATGACTGATTCGATTAGTGCTATTAGGCATAATTCGAATGGAAAAACGTTACTGGATAACTGGGTTGAAGAGGTAAACACTAGACTTTTCCAGTTATTATGATCACAAGCTTACAGTCTGTATTCTAACTGGATTTTTCCCCAATTTTTTTTAGAGACAATCAGCGCAGTTTGAAGATCCTAATGCTACTATACCTACTTTACAAAGACATGGACACAGGGTATGACATACTGTATCTATCCTCTATCCTTCCTACTTTGAATATTTTAGATTTCAGCTTCAGCTTTATAGAAGAGCTTTTTATTCATTCAGCTTTTAATACAGACTCCAAAATAATGAAAATCTATGACCAATGAAAATTAGATTTCTTTTGGTATCACATTATCTTATTTTAAAAGCAATACTTGAATTTCAAAGCAAAACAGCTGTTAGTTATTAGTGCTCTATTGAACTCTGAGGGCTCTTAGTGGCACAAGGAAAATCAACTCATACATTTGTGCTTTTTGAAGAACACCTTGAGGGAATCCCATTCCTCAGATCTCATCTCTTTTTATGGCTTCACAGTATATAACAATCCCCAACCTTTAAGCTCCAGTTATCTCCAATAAGTTGATCATTCATTTGATTTCTGCTGCACAGGGCATTATGACCACAGAATTTGAAGCAAAAGCAGAGGACCTCACAACAGTAAGAGATTCTTATAGAGAACCCATAGAGTTGGGTATAAGAACCAGAGGAACAAAAGAAGAACACTTACGAAATAAACTGATGGCACAAGTTGCTGCTGAGTTGGAAGAAGAGCTCAACCCTCCACCACCCCCTGTGGAATTAATATCAACGACACATAAAGACTTTAATAAAGGTATGTAGCTACCATTACATCAAACAGCCTATGATATATATATATATATATATATATATAGCAATGCTTTTACTGGGTTTTGATCAGCTTCACAGGACTTCATGCAACCAATGCCATGATCCAAAACAAAAAAAATTTTTGCATTTTTTTTGCAAAATTTCCAAATAGAATCACTAGTTATTTATAAAAAAATGAAAATCATAGGATAAAAGCTGCAAATTCGGCGTAAAAAACCGTCTACATTCCGTACGATCCAGCCAACCGAAGTCCAGTCCATTCCATCTATGTACGGTTCC